TAAGTACCAATTCATATTCATTGTAGTCAATTATTCTAAATAGTTAATTAATTAAATCAAATTGATGTCTATTAAATTACAAAGAACATGTCACAGATTATGCTAATCAAGTCCAATAATAGAATAAACCAAAGACAATATTTAGAACTATCGCAAATTACAATCTTAATCTTGCGCTCTTATTCCTCCCTCGCAAGTCTTACTCACTCGAGGATTAGAAATAATTGGTTTGGATTTGTACATACGTGTTCCATGTCTATTACCAAATATTGCATAGCAAACTGCAATTCGATTCAAAGCATTACACTTAGCTAGTAGTTACGTCAGCATTATTTGGGACACGTACTTATACGAATAACCATACTACTCATGTTGCACACAACACACAACACACAACACACAATGATTCTATGGTAGTTGGCTTGATGGAAATTGTACTGGTTAATTAATTCTTATCGCTCGCTCCTTTATTCTCTGTAATAAAAGTTCAGCGTGTGGGAGTTGAATGGGAGTAGTGCTGTAGCTGTACTTTTCGTGTGTTGATTCCAACATTTTCAAATTAAGAACGTCGGTTCTGTATCTGTGAAAACAAGTATTGCCCAACAGGTTTGTCAATAAGGCAATGACGCAGCGCAGCTTTTTATGATTAGACAGCAAGTTGAACTATTTTTGTTAGAAACATTCGCCTGCTTAATTCGCTAGTTGAAACTTTCCGTGAGCACGTAATTTTCATTATAGGAAAATAGCGTGACATTAAAGAATGTATTACCACATTGAAAAATTGTTCTTTCATTAACTAAACATCCAAGACGAGATGGAGTGATAACAATATCTAGAGCAATAAATTTTGTTATAAAGAATAATACATAATTATCCTAATAACTGTTTATTTAAAAGTGAGATTAAAAAATTAAAATATAATTGCGTAAAATATGCCTATATAAAATATAGTTAAGATATTGATACTCGCTATAAAAAGCCGACTACATAAATTTAATGATACAATACGGGAACATGATTATATCAGACACGTAGTACTCAGTCGCATCCACCATTTCCTGGTACAGATCTACGTTTTAGTTTTTTAGATTGGACATGAGAGTTTATGCAAATGCCTCTATAGTCACTGAACCCTGATCCCAAGACATAATTATGATTGCTATTACACCTATTAGTACTGTGATAGGCTAAAGTAGGGTTTGTAGGACTACTATATATAATTACAGCTGTATGTTCCCATACTTGTTTTCCTGGATCATAATACTGGATCAAATCACCCGGCTGCAATTGATCCAGCGAACAGTCAGTTGCCAAGTTGTTATTAATGAGATAGTCGTGAAGATCGCCTACAACAGACCAAGATGTTGAGAATGCATAATCGCCACTGCAATGTTTGCCGTCTGCGGTTCTATGAATGCCAATTGAATCCAGGCAGGGATTCCAGACCGGTAGGCTTTCGCACCACCAGTCATTAGATTGGGGGATTCCACCACTTTGTAGAACTTGAGAAGCGAAATCGGTACAATCGTCATCTTCAATGAATGGATAAGAATTTGTATTGGGGTTGCAACAATAGGTTAACGCATAATCGACTGCCTTCTGTCCGTCGTAGCTAATACTAGCAACCTGAACGATAAGGTTCAAGTATAATGCAACGATAATAAACCCAAGCCACATTTGCTGAATATAAGAAACGTAGGCCATGTTTTCAACTAAATACGCGGAGGCAAAGGTTTAAAGTTGTTTTGACGATTGTTTTTTCTTACGTGAAATTGGGTGGGTGGTCTTTAATTGAAATAACGGGCATTTTTATATATATTGCTGTACACGTGATTTCTTCACAGTTTACTGGCGCAAAGGCGGAAGCTAATGTTCTGCCTCGCACAAGGAGACTAAGTGTCGCGGATTGATTCATAATAAATTCTAACCAAAAACGGGTAAATAAATAAATACAGACGACACCCCCAAAAAATACCTTTTCTGACCTGAACAGGCTAGCCGATGATGCAATTTGTGAAACAAAATGGGGAATAAACCTATGCTTTAAGGTCTATTCAGGAAAGTGCCTGCTTTTTAAAAACTAGATTCGAATCAGTAATTCTGCAATTAATTTATTCCATGCCTAACCCAATATATAAATTCGTTACTCCAAATATCCACTATTTTACATGGGCGTATTGTCTCGTACTAGTATTGTATTGGCATCGGATGCAAGGTTGGCAAGTGCACTTACAAGTTTATTAATGTGTTGAGGTAAGTGAGTTTACTTTATCAATAGCGTATTATAAAAAGTGCAAGTTGAATTCCATTCTCGCATGATGTCATTACCGAAATAAGAAGATACAATCTGTTACTTTTATTATATGCCATTGGACATCATCGTATAAATGGTAATCCTTTGTCTGCATATTAAAGATGAACTAGAAAATATACCATTGATGTTGGGTACGATGAATGGACGTAAATCATTTCATGAATGCTTTTTTGAGAAAGTATGATTTAATACATCATAGAATGTGTCACAGACTAGCCTGTTCAGTAAATACAAAAGAAAAACCAAGTTTCGAATCATCGTAGTTTTTGTCTTCATACCTAAATAAGGAAAAAGTATTTTGTTTTTGATAAGAGCATTAGGATTTACTACGTTTGTACGCAATGCTCGATACTACTTGAACTGAAGTATATGTACCTTCATGTGTGTTTTCGACAGCTGTAGGACAAGTTTTATACCAAGTAAATGTATTTATTTAAACAAATGATTAGCAATCGATGTATAGTATGAAATCTGCATTTTGCATGAGATAATCTGGTTATTGCTAATGATCATTATCGTGGGATAATCCGGCTAATTACTAATGATCACTGTTGTGGGATATCTGGTAATGACTAATCTATGCAAAATCGGATAATGATGATAATAATAATACTAACGCTTAACGGTTGACGTATTTGAGGATCGAGTGTTACACGAACGGGTAGTACGACCAAGCGCCATTTTGTGAGGACAAGTATTGCACTGTCGTAATTAGCTTATTCAGTTCGATGACGTTATTATGCCTTTACTGCCAACCATCTCAGCCTTATGTGATTCTCCGAGACTTTGTTCGGAGCCTTTGTTAAATTAAAATTTGATTAATGAGCTATGCATTATGATCACCTTTCTATAACATACAAGGCGCGATCGACCAAACAAGTAAAATCGCTGACTGTACTACCGCTTGTTCGTGATGGAAGAATAAGCGTCTTCCTTATTGCTCAGTGTGGGTAAATATAAACAGTTGTTTTAAATCATAGTATATACAGTGTGTCATTTTTTAGAGTGAGTATATATGACTGTACGGCAATACAGCCAAATAGCCCGCCTAAGGCTTTTATTCTCTTAATTCGACACAAATTTGATGTAATACAAGAAGATGATCATTCAACATGAACACCTCACGCTCACTCCTCAAACTAACTGGATCCTCTACATGGAGACGAACACTTTTTACACACATCTAGTATTAGACAGTCAGACAAACTGGTCGTGGTAAAGTATCAATGACGCTACTACCTCTACTCGAGTACGTTTTCGTTTATTTTAACTCCTGTATTTTTCTTTATCATTCTCGACAAACACTTTGTCCGATTCAATTATCGACAAATCCTCTCCACAAACACCCACTTCCTCCCAGCAAACATCAATAGACAATCAACGTGTAATCTCTTCTATTCCTCGATCCTCTCAAACGCCATCCGATTATTGGGGATTATCCTTCAGAACAACGATTCTTCAATGCTTTAAAACGTAAAACCATGATTCTAATGAGGCGGATATGCGACCGGTGGTACATATACATAATGCAGTCAACGAACGGGGCCTGGAGCGAGATTTTAAAATGAAAGAAGTTGCATGAAGGCTCAAGCAATACCCAGTGAAACTGAAGAGTTTTCGGGGGAGGCCTGGAGATTTGAGTTTCAAGGAGCGAATGTATAGATTACTAGGGTGAGTTTTTTGTAAACCGTTTTTGTTCGTTAGATCAACAATCAAACATGTAAGCGGGGAAAATATTCTAAATAGCTTGCTTGCTTATTCCCACAGATATACATATCCCTTTGATAGACACGATTAGATAATCGACAGATGTGTTAAAGAAGTCTGTTATATAATAGATTCCGAAAACCCGCATTCGGTTAGCTTTTACATTGATGCGAGGCCAGCTTTAACGTTAGAAGACGTAGTTAATCGAATTTTGCTTTATGGAATTAGAATAATTTTGAGAAGATTGGACGGGGAGTTGCAAGGAAGATCATGTGCGCAGCGAGGAAGATTAGATATTACATCGGTAGGACGGTATAATAACTTTTTTTAGTCCAGTCATACCTCAGTTATATCTCCTTCAGTTACATCCCAACCTCAGTTATACCCCAGGAGCATTGCGTACAAACATGTAGTAAATCCATTGACTGTCAGTTTGCAGATTAACGATTTGAAAAGTTGAATACCAAAAGTCAACCGCTATCGCTCTCCTGTGATATTGACTTGACATAGATAATGTGATTACAAACCACTTTGTAATTATTTTGTTGAGAAAGCAAAATAGGACTACCAAATAGTTTTGAATAAAAGGCATACGTTTTTATAATCATCGTGCCCGATAATCAATGACAGAACTACATGAAACAATGAATGCTACGATAAACAGAATTTTATAAGCGGAGATTAATTAGTAGAGTGCTTTTCTTTTACGCATACATACTATAATTAGTTCACATTTTGTTACGTCGATTCCACCAAGAGATAAAATTTCATTCGTCGACCATACTTGCCACAATTTTTGGGTCTACGTTTTTTTAGGTGTAAATATTACAATTCCCTATAAGTTTAGGTTAAAATTACGTCACTGATGGTCTCGCGTCGTGCATTTAAGCTTGATTTGTGACAGCAAAAACTTGAGCTCCTTCTTTTGGTAACAAAATAATTAAAATTAAATCGAACTCTAATCGGTTGATTAGGTTTTAGAGTAATGTATATCTAAAAGAAGTCACGAAACCGTTTTTTTTTTTACAATCTTTAAAAAAACAACTCCGCACCATTATGTTTTCTTATTCAAGAAAAAGTTATCCCGTGCAATTTGACACAATAAGTTAAACTAGGCGCTTGTATACTTTGGGAGGTAAGAATCAGCGTGTTTACTCATTTTTGTCTTCCGTTTTATGCGATAACTTTGCCAGTTGCAGTACTAATACTGATTAACCTTGGACTTTATTCTTTGTATTCTGTATTTTTTGCAGTATAAAGTAGTGCCTGTTCGTATGAATACTATCTAAACTTTAATTGTTAATCCGAAAATATTTGCATAAATATAACGTCTTAGTTTACCAGTACATATTTTACATAACTGGTGTAAATAGAATTTTTGCATCTTTACTTGTTTGTCAGTAGAACTTTTAGGTCGAATAGTTTGGATAAATATGAATTAGTTTGAAGCTAAATCTCTCGGTAAGCTAAATTCAGAAATTGCAAGAGTGAAGTTACATGGACAGTCTATTCTTTCCCATCGATTAAACAATAATTATGCGACAATAAAGGCAAACATAAATACAATTAGATAATAAGCTGCTGACATTCCCCCTTTGATAATTACCACTGTTGCAAAGTTATATAAAACCGTCTTTGTCCGAAATTTTTGTTTCAACCAATCACGTAAATGCAGTATTTTATCAAAGACTGCAACTGACAAGTTGCCTGTTCGGGTAGAATCTCAAAGTGAGTTTGTTTCCCACAAAAAGAGTGGCAATAGCTCTTGAGAAATATAAACGTTCGCGTAATACCATCAATAGTAGTAAAAATAAACTAAGATTTAATTACAGAAGAGTTAAATTTCCTGCTTTATTGCATTCTGGTTATAAAGTGTACTATCGCGTCTATTGAAGTCTTGCGTATGTAAATAATAATATCCAGCATGCGTAATTGGCCGACGCATCATCCAGACACAGTGCTAAAATTGAAAACAGGTTCCACTGTCCAGGCAATATGGTTACGTATTTATTTATAACCCTTAAATAATTGGTTCTCAATATTTACTTTTAATTAATAATTTGCTTATACTCTGCCCGGAAAAGGTAGCTAACTGTGAATATGCATAATTTTATTTCAGCGTCTCGTTAACACATCCACATCGACATATTAATATGTAGAGGCACACATTGTATAATTCGCAAACTTTTGAATAAAATCATATAAACTGTAATAATCATAAATTACGAGTTTATTCAAATAGAGTTTGAGTTGCTAAATTGTAAGAAATGCGTTAAAGTGTTAACATTGTAATATTGTAAATTGACTTCATTTGTAATCGTACCTGCAGCTGAATTCAAATCATAACTATTTATCGGTTCAGGCAAAGCTCCAGTAGGTCAGAGTGTGTTGGAATATTTACTCTCTTTCTCGAGACGTGATAATGGCTTTACATCAGTATGATAAACGGCATTCCACACGTTGTCACCAGATATATCCTTTTTCACATCTTCAAACATACTATAAATATGACCAAAAAGTTTATATGCATCAGGACGCTTATCAGGATCAGCATCATAACACCGCTCGGCAAGTTTTTTGTATTCCTCTGGCGCAGAATCAGGCATCGACGGTCCCAGTCCCTCACAAACACGTATCGCCAAACATTCGCCAAACGACCAATCTCTAAATGGTGGTTCACCAG